AGCGAGACCTTGCCTCTACTAAAAATAAAAAAAGAATAGCCAGGCATGGTTGTGCACCTCTGTAGTCCCGACTGCTTTGCAGGCTGAAGCAGGAGGATCACTTTAGCCCAGGAGTTTGAGGCTGCAGTGAGCTATTATCACACCACTGCACCCCAGCTTGGGTGGTAGAACAAGACTTTGCCTCAAAAATAAAAATAAAATGTACGATTCCATGGCATGGTATCAAGTACTTTCACAATGTCAGGCAGCCACCGCCACTATCTATTTCCAGAAGTTTTTTTGTTTGTTTGTTTTTTTGAGATGGAGTTTTGCTCTTGTCGCCCAGGCTGGAGTGCCGTGCGCAATCTTGGCTTACTGCAACCTCCACCTCCCAGGTTCAAGTGATTCTCCTGCCTCAGCTTCCTGAGCAGCTGGGAATACAGGCACCTGCCACTGTACCTGGCTAACTTTTGTATTTTTAGTAGAGACGGGGTTTCACCACATTGGCCAGACTGTCCTCGAACTCCTGACCTCAGGTGATCCACCCGCCTTGGCCTCCCAAAGTGCTGGGATTACAGGTGTGAGCCACTGCAACTGGCCTATTTCCAGAACTTTTTCAACATCCCAAATGGAAACCCTGTACCCATAAGCAATCACTCCCCATCCCCCCTCCCACGGCCAAAATGAGCGTTTCCACGAAGTCGAACCCAAGCTCATAATTATGGTGGCATCAAAGTCTGCGGGGCCTAAGTAATTCCTACATCCCCTTCGGTGAGCTTGAGTCCTTTGGTTTTGGGGAGATGCTCACCTTTAGTCCTTCGTAGAGCTCGTAAATCATCCTCAGCCCACTCATTTCCTTCTGCACTTTCAGCAGCTCTGGGTACATGGTAATAGGAAGATCGAAAAGTTTCTCAGCGTTAGCCAGTTCCTGACGGCTCTTTTCATGCCTTGCCAGCTCTCTTTCAAAAACACCTAAAAGCTCTACTCCTAGTAAATAAATACACCAATAAATGAATAAATACAATTTTAAGGTATACAAAATTGAAAAAGAAATCATGCATAATGTACCTCAATTATAATTTCATCCTCATAAACCACACGGGAAGACAAATTTAGAATCATGGCACCATTCTAACTAAAACCAAAAGACCAATGACATCTCCAGTCTCCTCCAGTTAGAAAATTGTGTCTAATTCTCACAACCAGGTCATTCAGAAATGAGACTATTTTAAGGGAATCTGAGCTGGTCTACGTTGTGGTCAACATCACCATGCTTTGCTGCCCCCTTGAGAATGTCATCATCCTACTAATAACTCCCCTACCACTCTGATTTCCCAGTTCTATGCTTCTCCCCCAATTCCAATGACGACCACCACTCTACATCACTACATCCCTGCTCACAATCATCTAGCCAAATGCCACATTTCCCAGATGCCATTTTTGAGCATCCTTAAACAAACGTCACCCGTTTCTTTGGAAGCCATAGCAGTCTTTGGTTTGTCTCACAGTATTTTTTGTCTCATGGTATTTACCAAATTCTCTTTAGAATAAGAATTTTAGGATTGGGTTCAGTGGCTCAGGCCTGTAATCCCAGCACTTTGGGAGGCTGAGGCAGGAGGATCACTTGAGGTCAGGAGTTCAAGACCAGCCTGGCTAACATGGTGAAACTCCATCTCTACTAAAAATACAAAAATTAGCCAGGCATGGTGGCACAC